GTGTAGCACTCACTTACTGTAAAACTAAAAGTCTTTACTTGTACGGCGAACAATGGTAAGTAAAACAAGTTTTTACGTCGTGAATAAGATGTTATATCGTTCGTGAGTCATATCTATAGGATTATGTGTGTACTACATAATGCGTGTACTATTGAGTGAAATTTTAAAAGTAAAAAAATATGGGAACAAAAAAATTGTATATATATATATATATATATATATATATATATATATACGTGTACGTGTATAGGAAGCGGTTATCAATGTATTGGTTAAAATAGTATCGATCATTTTCGCAGTTTGACGAATATAATTCTTACATGCTCTGAATAATCGAATATACGGAACGAAGCGAGTGACGCGAAAGACAAAATTATAGATTTAAGTTATTCTTACATTTATATTTATACACGATAAAGTAATGAAATAATCAAGGCTTTATAAGTTGCAAAATATGAATGTGTTGGTTAGTTCATTCGCTTATGCGAAAAGCAGCGTAAGGAAAGTCGTGACTTTCGAGTTAAAAATAGCCTCGCATGCGTATCATTAATATTATACTTAACTTTATACGATCATTAAAATGCAAAGATAATTGAAAATTGGTATAATTCGGCTTTAATTAATTGTCCAACTTTGCTAAAATTTTCATTTGAAAAATGTTCTTGACAAAGTACCATGCAACCGATTTGTCGAATGTCCATACGTACAATGGACGATTGCGCGTGTAGTTACAGAAAAAGAAAAAAAGTAGAAAAAAAAAAAATTAATATCTATTATTATAACTATGTCCTCGCAATTCTTTCTACCATTTTTATTTGAACATTCAATCGTTTAATCTACGTGCCGATATGAGCGTGCGTACCCCTGTGCTGCACCTTAACCAATTCACTCTCTGCAGATTTTCATATTTTCAAATAAACTCTTTAGGCACCATATTAATGAAGTTACGTATGATTATTTCGACACATATATAGTTACAATCAATGAACATATAGTGTTTATATTATGGAGAATTATGTAGTACAATGAATGTTAATGCTAGGTGTAAGGTAGCACGCATTTTAAACGAATAACATCGATTTGTATTCCGTATAGAGATATTCGCTTACCATGTATATTGATTCGGCCCATCGACCATATGTATAATAAAAACCCGAGATATCGAAACATTAAATTTTCAAGTAGAATACTTCTTTTACGTTTTATTACGACGTTATGTCGACCTTACAGCCGCTATGAGACTGTCTCGCACTCGCTCTAAAACCCACCAAACCAATCAAAATATCCTCTCTAAATTTAATACTACGACTTTCCTTAGCACACATCGCCATCGACAGTCGCCAATTCAATTGATATATTACATTTTCCCGCGTAAAAATACCAAATGAGCTTTAGTAAAAAGACCTTGCCAAGCCTCATTAATTAAATGCTCGGCTTTGCAGTAGAGTAGTGGCATCATTGTCCTCGCCCGCACCGCGCTTTATTACACCGACGGCCGACCTCTTAAGCTGTCGTCCACCAATCCCAACTGCCAACTGCGCATTTTCCCCGTGAAGAGAAAAGAACTGGTAGTCCGTTGTTGTTATCGGCCCTATCGCTACTACGCATGACACGGCTGTGCGTCGCAACGCAGCCCCTGTCGCAGTCCCACACCTTGCGCGAATATTATGCAAAACTAGTTACCCAGTAAGTAGCCCTTCGATGGGATTAGTAGATAGTTTTTAACGGCATTGGCGACGTGGCCTTAGCCAAGAAAGGAGAAAAATTAAAGAGTAGGCCAATGTTAGGTAGCCGTGGGCTTTCCTGTCCCCAGCTCCGTGTCAGCCGGAACCAAAGCTAAGTCCCCGGGCGTTGGCTCGCGAGCGTCAACCTGTCGAGGGCACCAATTAGCCCGGGCTGAAATAATTACGTCGGTGCGAACAATGGCCGTGCGATCCCGTGCCTAGTATTACCTCCTCCTAGTATTCCTCTCCGTCGTCCCACCGTCACCACCGCCACCGGCACCGCCACCGGCACCGCCACCGCCATCGTCACAGGCGTAACGGTAGCATGCGGCCCCTCGTCCCATCGTCCCCTCGTCCCCTCGTCCCCTCGTCCCCTCGTCCCCTCGCCCCCTCGCCCCTCGTCCCACGCCAATTGCCACCCCATCCCGAAGCCAACCCGGCGATCATCTCGCACCCGCGCACTTCACGACTTGGCCCGCGTGGCGCGATCGAAGCACGAAAAGGCCGCAAATGCACGGGTACGCCGATGCGTGGATACGCGCTAAGCGCATTGCGTCAGAGTGCAACTTCGCGCACACATTTCAGCGCTCCTGCGCGTATTGCGTGACTTTGCCTTACTGTGTTATAATCCATCTGGACGAGCCGATATCCGAGAAGTCGTTGCTCGCTCCTTTGCCGCTCAATTAATAATTTGGGGCTTGGGCAACATGTAGCCGCGCCGTTACGAACTAATGCATCCATTTTGGCCAATCGGCGCTCATTGTTGCGAAAAATTTTAACGAAAAATGCCGATCATCATGCCCTTTGGTGGGCCCGTCCTGAACCCCCGGCCATTCTTATTAATTAGGTAAGGAGAGCCGGACTATTGCCGGTCATTGGCGTATTTAAGTACTCGAGTGCGCCGAAGAGAATGGCGATTAGAATTGCCATTAGCTGGCGAAACGGACTCGGCCAATGTCGACTTTGCATAAAAGTCACCGAAAGCAGTCGTTTATCCTGCTCCTCGTTTACGCTCTCTCTCTCTCTCTCTCTCTCTCTCTCTCTCTC